GGGGGGAAGCGATGCTCAGACCAGGAGCCGGGGAGTCACAAGTTAACCCCTCACAGGCCACATGCGGCCCATGGGCCACCAGTTGGTCAGCACTGGGCTATGCCATTTTTGCAGACACTGAAGTCACCGAAGGCAACTCCTGCGCTGAATGCAGCATCCGGAGGCCGGGCCCATGTTGACCGGCTTTCTCAAGGACTTTGTGTTGTCTAAGAGCCAGCCCTGCCACCTGCATCTGGGCTCTCTCCTTTGCCTGGGTCATCACTGGTTGGGAAAGGCTCGGAGAAACCCACTCAGCTCCACTGTCACACTCGGGCAGGGCCTCTCGGGACCTAGGGAACAGATCTGCTGGGGAGAAAGAAACAAGACGTACGCAGCGGGGAATCCCAGGCCCTGGAAATCACAGTTGTCCAGGGAGCCCACGGACTTCAACGGGGCTAACAATCACCAGAGCTGACATCTCTCCGAGTTGCACGGGGCCAGCAGGAAGAGGGAGCGCTGCAAGCCTGGCGTGCTCGTTGCTAGGACGGGCAGATGCAGCCAGTGGAGCTGGGGTCACTTTTACCCAGTCTCTCTGCAGAGTCGGTCTTTCCACTCCTCTCCCTGGGGCACAAGAGCACTCACAGATGCAGATATGTTAAGGTCAAAACGGGCCATTAGATGACCTGGTCCGATCTATTTTACACAAGCCAGAGAAAGTCATCCACTCAGGCACGTAGCGAAGCCAGTGACTCCTTGCCTGAAGCTCATCTTCCACAAAGGCATCCAGCCACTATCTGAAGGCATCAGGGGACAGGGAACCCGCCCCTTCCCTCCGCAGGTGGTTTCAGCAGGTACCCACCCCCGTGCTTCAAAATCTGCGCCGTGCTTCTGATCTGAATTTGGCTGGCATTAACTACCAGCCATTAGCTCTTGTTAAATCCTTCTCCACTACATTAAAGAACCCTTTAAAACCCTGTAATTTCTCTGCAGGAAAGAACTTCTACACTGCAATCAATTCACCTCCCAGTCGTCTTTCGGGAAATCTAAACAGCTTATGCTTTCTGAGTCTCTCTCTTCCAAGTATTTCCTCCACCCTGGATTGCTCTCATCCTTCTTCCCTGCACCGTCTCCAAAATGTCCAGCATCCCTTTTAAACCGTGGACCCCAGAACTGCATGCAGGACTCCATCAGTGGCCCCCCGAGCCCCAGACCCTGCGATACCAATGCCTCTGCCAGGTCCTAGGTTAAAGCACCTGCTTTGGTAATGCGCTGTCATCTGGTCCTTAAGACAAAGGCACAGAAAGCAGTGAGGAGGAAGATGACCCATCCCACCTTTTGCATTAAAGGTTTTCCAAGGGACTCAAGCAGGTTGAGAAAGATATCACGTAGGTGCCTAAGCAGACTTAAGTGTTGAACGCAGGGACAGGGCCTGGCCCCGATAGGCTTTTGACCCTTGCAGGCTGGGTTTCCCAACTCATGCAGGTGGCACCCAAGGGAGCCAGGCTCTCCCTCTGACCAGGGTCCCTGCCCCAGAAAGCTGCTGTACGGGACCCCCATATTACTTCACTTTTTTCCAGCACTGACCTGACCCCCCAGCACTTCCACCCAGCCAACCCCTCATGCAGACTCTTCCCCGCTCCCTCTCGGCTACGAGCCACATTGGCCCGGACACCTCCCCTTGAGTCTCCCACCTGCTGGGATACCGGACCTGCCTTTTACCTCCTGCTTGCCCTTCCCGGCAGGTCGTGCTGCAGCCTATGGTCATGGCAGCCAGGCCCAGGACAGGGTAGGGTCCCTCTGAGCCCGTCCCCTTTCACCAACTCCAGTGATATTTCCCATTGCACTGCCCTGGTGTTTCCTCGGACCTTGCTATTTGCCCCCCTGCCCGGACTACGCTGCCAGAGGCAGGCGGGGGCTGAGCCCAACATGGTGGTCAGTGCAGGGAAGGACAACAAGGCTGCAATGCTAGCCTAGTACAACCTGCATTTGTGTTAAGAGGGGTATGTGTGTGTGTTGGAGGGGGTGAGGCTGGAAAAGTGGAGAACGGGGGTGAATGGAGCCACAGAAAGTCCCGTACCTGCTCTGCCACTGCACCCGGGTGTCATGGGACGGCAAAGGGCCTGTTTGCAATTCAAATGGACCGGCAAAGTTCAGTTCTCTAGACGAGCTCCCCTGCCCTGCAATCATCGGTTCACAGGTAGAGATAAGGCTCATGGAAAGACTGACTGCCCCAGCAGCATCCTGGCCTAGTCCCACTTGCAGATCCTTCACCATGAAGAATTTTAAGATGATGACCAGTCCATGCATCATTTGGAAAGAGCCCTGACAACGTAAATTTAATACTGGAGAACATTGGAAAGAAGAGGAGGCAGGGAGCAGAGTTCATTGCTCCTCACCTACCTCCTGGCCAGATTGCCCTTAATAGCCCAAAGAGCGAACCGGGCTGTAGGCAAGACTCAGAGAAGGCAGAGTTCAGCCTGCACAGACCCACTAAAGATCTGGGTTTGCATCTCAAACCAAGCTGTCCTCAAGCACTGGGGTATATCTGGGGTTGGAGGGATCTAGAGCAACAGGGACCGAGAAGAAATCCACATCTGGATCCATATGCTCCTGAAGTCCAGCACCTGGGATCTTCCCAAAGTCTACCACCGGCAAAACTGACTACCCAGTAACAACCCTACATCGTCCCTCTTCCTCCCGCATGCCTGCCAGGGAGACACCCACAAAGGGAAGACCAGCTCTCCCAGTTTCTTCCAGGCAAACATACTGCTCCAATTAGCGCCGAGACTGGCCTTGCTCCCTTCCACCCTGGGAATGGACTGCAGCACGAGATCAAAAGGAGCCCCGAACATCTGAGGTCAGACGCGCTGGCAAGGCAGAAGTGTCAGCTCCCCACCCTGTCGAGGAACAACTCAGTCCCTTTCTCTGACCTTTAAGGCTTCCAGACACGCTTCAGCCCACACTCAGCTTGGCTGCCAGTCGCTTTGTCCCTGGGCCTGCACTATATGTTCCACTTGCTTCAATAAGTCACCACCAAAAAACCCTGCTCAATTTTTATCTCCCTTGAAATGTTTCCAGGTCTCTCTAGGAGAACCTAAGTTATAGGGCTTGATTTAAACCCCTTTCCACCAGCTGAAGATCCAGACCATGCTTATGAACTAGGAGACCTTCAAGCATGCTCCAGCCAGCAGCCTTTATGAACCACCACAAAACCAATGCATTTCAAACAGTGTTTCCACCGGGAATGAGCTGCTCAGCACGGGGCCAAATCTTAGCCCCCTTCTTTATCCTGCAGGAGCATTTCGGAGGCCCTGTGCAAGCCTTATGGTGCGCAAGGCCTGCATCAGAGATGGACTGTGCCTTGCTGAGCTTACAATCAAAGTCTGCCGGGGTAAAAAGCAAAGGGGAGCTGCGAAGGGAGGCGAGTGAAACCCAACAACACCCAGCCCACGGATCATACATCCCCAGGAGTGGGAGGAATGGGGGCCTTTTAAACCCTCGTTGCATTTTAAGCAAACAAAACTCCAAGCCTCTGCTCGAAAACCATTAAAAGAAATGCTCAAAGAGACGTGACGGGGCAAACACAATAGGGAGAGAGAACAGTTGTTACCAATTTAGTAGATAGCTTACGCTCTGGTGAACACGGCATTCAGCTCCAGTACACAAACCCTGCCAAGGCAATTCCCCCCTTCCACCTCCGAAAGAGAGAGGAAAAAGGGCCCGCGAGCCTTTGCTTGGCAAAAAGTGACATGAGCCAGACGGCAACGCTTTCTGATTAAAGGAGCGGGGAGAAAGGCCGCTTCCCCCTGTGCAACCTTAGCCAAATAAACTGCAGTCGCGCCGCGCTTGCCGCTCTGCTCGCATACTCTCTCGACTCAAAGCACTGCCACCGAGATGTCCCAGAGCCCCCGCTAACAGGAGCAAAACGCTGGGGTCCAAGAAGATTGCAGCTTTTCTCCCAATCCGCCAAAGCCGACTGGGAAAAAAACACCAAAACCCTCACCCATGCAACATGAAAACCAAAATGCCTCCAGCAAACCAGATATCTTAATCTACTCCCTATTTAACGAGATCAAAGGGGTATTTCACAGAACACTGCACACAGACACAGCTCTCAACCAGGAAGGCAGCCCGGGCACACGTGCTTTGCAGCTAGGACACAACTGCTCTGAAAACCGACTTGCATTTTGGCAACGGCGCTTTGTTATGAACGGGCAACAAACATCCCCCTCCCTCCCCGGCTCTCTCCGATTTCGCTACTCGGGAAATCGGTGCGAAGCGCTCCTTCCTTTCTGAAGTCGTTCCGTGATCACAATCAACGAGCCACAATAACTGCACCAGAAAGTTAGAGGAATCTCACCTTCACCCCCCCGCCAAAAATACATATCTTATATATAGCTGCATTTGTTCCCATTGAACAGATTCCCACATGCAGGAATACCAGGAGATAGCTATCTTTTTTTTCCAAAAACAATCAACTTGCTCTTAGGTTACAGCCGACGGGCAGAACATCAGGAATAATAATGAAAAGAAAAGATGATACCAGCCCCCTACCGAGGAAAAGGCAACTTTTGTTCAACGTTGCAGGCATAAAAGCATCTAGAGCTGGCCAAGAGAATAACAGTTTATGGAGACCTTATATAGCATCCCAGAGAGACAAAACAGGAAGAGTGAATTTGAAGGCAAGAAAGCGTCTTCCAACTGCACGGGGCCAAACCCGGCAGCCTTTGACTCAGGCGGGGGCTGGTCTTAATTGGGACGCCGACCCCAACGGGAGTCTGCCCTGACATGAGGGTTTGACACACGGTGTATTAAGTTTCTGCCACAATTTGGTAGGGGCGGGATTCTGATCCGATCTCCCCGGAGTAACTTCACAGAAGTCAATGGAGTTACTCCCAATGACCAAGAGCATTCATGACAGCTGAATTTGGTCCCAGCCAGTGGATCCAGAGTCCAGGGAAGACAAGGTCTTCAATGACCTCTGGACTGGGCCATAACAAGAGCACCTTAGAAAGACTTACCACTTGGGGCTTGGTCCTGGCACCACCGGAGCCGTGGTCCTCCTGCTGCTTCGGACATCGCAGCAGCTTGGGCTCCGAAGTCGTTGGCGTCGCTGGTGACGATCTGGGCATATCCACAGGGCTAGCAGAAGTCGAGTCCCCAGAGTTGAGGTTCAGCATGTACTGCTTGGTAACATCCTCCAAGGATGGCGCTTGGAGCACGGGGTAGGCCTTGACGGGGAGCCGGGATGGCTCCGGCATGGTGATGTGCACATTGTGGCCGAGCGTTGCAGGCGGGTCCGGGGACGAAATGGGGATGAAGGTGGAAGGCTCGCTCGTGTGCCGGACATGCTTGGAGGCCAGCCGGGACCTGCTGACGGTGGCGGGAGCGGGAGCAGGGCTTGAGAACGGCGTCTGGTTGTTCTCCTGGTGGGTCACCCGGTTGTTGCGCTTCTTGGAGCTGCGCCGGAGGACCCGGGGGGACAGGACTTCCGCAAGCTTGGGGTCAAAACTGTAGCCCTGGCCGGCCTCCCCCGCAGTGCCGGCTCCTGGCTGCGCCGGTAGGACGTGTTCGGACTGAGAGCGCAGCTTCCCGGCCTCCGGGGCCAGCTCCTCCAGCTCCCTCGCCTCGTCCCGCTGCTCGGAGAGGATGGGCTCGCTGCTGGAAGGCGGGATGGTCTGGTCCAGCTCGCTGATGGGCTCGCCGGGGCCCTCAAAGCCAGCGCTGGCCAGGTCCCCGCGGCGGCTGGGGTCGCTGAAAGACTTCTTCTTGATGGTCTTGCCGTTCCCCTTCTCGTCGATCACCTTGTCCATGGCGCCGGGCTGGCTCACAATGTTCTGGATGACCCGGCTGTAGTCTTTGACGCCGTCGCTGCACACGGACAGGTCGCTGGCGGCGCTCCCCGTGCACTCCGACCGAGCGATGGCCGAAGCCTCCGGCATGCCGGCCTTGGCGCTGAGGGACCCCAGGAGATTGCTGTCCATGGAGAAGTTCTTGGCCTCTTCCGTGATCGAGCACCTGCGGTGCGGCATGGGGTCACTCAAGGACCTGTAGGTGTCGCTGCCGGACTCCCCGTTGCTCCCATTGCTGGATTCGGACCCGCTGTTACCCACCGAGGGAAACTTCCTTCGGCGCCGCAGGGTGCTCGGGGTGGAAGGGGCCTCCGAGGACGCTTGGGCCATGGCTTTGCCGTCAAGGGCATCGTCAACAGCGGGGCCCTCGTGATTCATTCTGGCGGTGTGCGCCGGGAGAGGTCCCTCTTTGCCGCCGGCTCGGAGGGGTCTGCTTTCCGCTTGGCCAACGCCGGGCAATTTCCAAGCCGCCACCATGCGATCAAGGTCCTGGTAGGCAGCGCCGGTGGGGCCCGTTTCCGGCTCTGTTACAATGCCTTCATCTGTCATGCTGGACTCATGCCCCGAGAGCTCCTCCACGGACTTCCCGCCGGAGAGGTTTCCCTCGGACTCTGCTTTCTCTTGGGTGACCGCGGCGGCGTCCCGCAGCGCCGCC